ATGGAGCTGAAAACGAACAAGCAAATCATGCTTTGTCTGTAGTCAGTAATCGTGAAAACAGAATGTTATGATCAAGTCCTAAAAGATGTACCAGGATACAGGTAAACGCAAAGGCCCGACTTGAATAAAAAGGGTTTCCTTGCAGACGAAGCAGGTGGTTCGTGGACTGCACGTCCCCTAAAACGGCAGGTGTCCCCGTTGAGGGGGAGATGGGAAGGTCTACTGCTGTGCCTTAGAACGTACAAGTGCGCCTCTGGATGCTTCTGGGCCAGCAAGCCGTTGTAGAGAGGGGTGAAAGGCCGGAGAATTTTCTTCCTCTTCTTCTTTTCTGACTTCCTCTGAAGAGGACATTCTGTTAAAAAGAATCTAAAGGAAGGAAGGGAGAGACAGCTGTCAGGAAACAAAAGCACCTTGTGTTCTACTCTGGCACGGCCTGTCTGCTTTCTGTCTGCGCTTTCTGTTTTCCATCTTAAGTGTCCCCAGGATCGCTGACATGGGGAGGGGAGAGGACACGGGGATGATTGCAACGGCTGCCTGTGTGGAAAAATGGGACCAGACTTATCCCAATATGTTCTCCCCTCGGTGCCAAAGCAAGCAGCTTCTGCTGGGGGGGGGAAGTGACACCCACCCTCTGTAAGTGGATGAGATTCAGTGGCTGTGGCCATGAATGACCCTGTTGCTGAAGGCTTCCTAGGTAAAGCCACACGGGAGTGTTTTCCACCCAATGCTGTGGATACGAACCCGGCTTCTCTGCTCCTCCCCTCTTTGCCACACCAGGAAGAGTAGAGAGAAACACGGTACCATCAGCTTTCAAGAGCTGGTTCAGTCCAGAGTGGAACCCAGAAGGCTCTTTCAAGTAGGGCTGAACACACGAATGGGAATCCTAGTTCTTTCCCAACAGGTACTTGAAATAGTGGGAATTCCCTCTCACTCTCATTTCATGGAAGGGAGTTGACCTTCTCTGTTTCAGACCAGGCTCTCTATAGAGCAGTCTTTAATGGGTACAGGTGGCTGGAAGATGCCGGCAGAAGGATTATCACTACGTTTTAATGACTGGTGCTTAACAGATTCTAGACATGCTCCGCCTTCCTTGGGAAGAAATGGCTGGACATCTGGATTGTCAGAGTAAACAGAGGCGCCCCTCCCTTATAGAGGAAGAGATGGTAGCTTATTTGGTGACCAACAATCATAGAAACAAAGAGTGAGCAAGTAGGTACATTCATGAAAACTTAGCCCACTGTCAAAACAACACTATCAACCCACAGCAGGTAGGCATAAACTGAGGAACTCCATGACTTGCAGGACTGTTTGGTTTTTTTTGGGGGGGGGGGTTGTACCATGCCATGAAGATCCTTGCTACCACGGACATTCCACCCTGGTGGAAATTCTTCAATGGTGCCAACTCTTCCTTTTTTGCTTTAACTCAGAACAGAGCTCATGGCAGGAAACAGAAGTGGGCAGCTGTGTTTTGGGATCCTGGGAAACTGCTTGTCTGGTTCGTATTTGCAGGTGCTGTACTGTAACTGCTGTTATGTGGCAGCCCAGGTCTAGCCCCTCTGCCCCTCAAAAAAAAAAAAAAAAAAAAAAAAAAAAAAAAAAAAAAAAAAAAACCAAAAGGGCACGCATTTGGAAACAGAAGTGGGCAGCTGTGTTTTGGGAGCTTGGGAAACTGCTTGTCTGGTTTGTATTTGCAGGTGCTGTGCTGTAACTGCTGCTATGTGGCAGCCCAGGTCTAGCCCCTCTGCCCCTCCCAAAAAAAAAAAAAAAAAAGACCAAATGGGCCAGGCATTTGTGGGAGGTGGAAAAAGTTTTGCCCCCGAATGATGGAACTGTCTTGATGATCTTGGCCAAACTCTTATTCCAACCTCTAGAAAGCGACAGTACCAGCTATGAAACCTCTCAGGAGATCAGACCAACACATACTCAGTGAGTTCTTCATCGGATGTGTCTTCATCAGAGGACGATGATGGATATATTGGGGGTTGAAACTCAGTTTTCCATCTCTCTTCTTCTTTTTGCTGTTCCAGCTCAAGCGCATTCTTCCTCTCCATGGTTTCTTTGCGAAGAGTGTGGAAATATCCCCGGCCTATCTTCACAGAGTGGATCAACTGCCTGTGAGGAGAAGTGACGGAAGACTAAAGGTAAGTAGAATGATAAGAGTGAAATCGAACAGTGGAGGGATGCTGTGTTTCCCTTCCAGAACAAGCCTCACTCTTTGATTTCTATCAAGCAGAAAGGTATGCATGGCCAAAAATCTAACCAGAATGGAAACAGCGGTATCTCCTTCCTTCTGAAAGTACTGTAGTTGCTAATCCCTTACAAGCTGCTTCCAGAAAACGTGGACTGTGGGAGTGGCCTAGGACTCTGCAGATACATGCAGAGAATGTGCGAAATCCTCTGGACCAAAATGTGTGATCCTCTGGAGCTAGCACAGATGTGGGCCCTGGTATATATTTGATTGATTAATTATGCTTATATGTAGAGATGGGGGCATGGGAGTGGCCTAGGACTCTGCAAATACATGCAGAGAATGTGCAAAAGCCTCTGGACCAAAATGTGTGATCCTCTGGAGCTAGCACAGATGTGGGCCCTGGTATATATTTTATTGAGTAATTATGCTTATATAGAGAGATGGGGGTATTCGTATACAAATATCGATTGATTAATTATGCTTATATGTAGAGATGGGGGCATCTGTATACAAATATCCCTGCGCAACTGGAGTTAACAAGGAAGTTAACGAGGCTCTGGCCCCTGGGGCCGGACCGTCCACTCACATATCCGCCAGCGGCAGCAGTCCCTCTTCCTTCCAATCGCTCCGGAGTGCCGCTCGGGGGGGTTTCGTCCTTCCTCCCTCTGCCAGGAGTGGCTACCCTTGCAGGGAGTTTCGACCTCCCTCCCTCTGCCAGGAGTGGCTAGATGACCAAGAAGAGAACGGCCCTCGGGAGTGATTGGAAGGATGATTCATGCAGGGCTGCTAGCAGTGGCAGACCTGTGAATGGACGGTTCGGATGTATCGATAAAAATTCAAATAGGTGGAAATAAAGCAGTACTGCAAAAAAAGTTGCTGGGACATTTGCCCCAGTAAATAAACCACATGACCGTGGATCAGCACCACCGAGGCATGGAAAATACAGAAGAACTAGAGAACATTCCCCTCATGTGACCAGGGCCTAAGTCCAAAAATGTCAATCCTGAATCTTCTGACAAAGATCAGCACCAGTCTCCATTCCCCGGGACCAAGGCCTGACAAATCAACTACGGCTCATTTAAGCACTAACAGCTTCATCACTGAATGCAACCTGAAATCCTGGCTTGTCTATAGACTATTCCAGTTGGTAGAGCAATATTCTAGTCTGCTGCTGTGGGATGCTTCCATTCAAGCCTGAATGTTTTTCTGTACCTAGAACTATCCATGGTCCTGAAGTATGAAGATACTTAAAGAGTAAGCACATGTACCTGGTTACCAAGGCCAAGAATACCTATACTGTACAGTCATGCCCCACTGGACGATTACCCCGTCTAACGATGAATCTGCTTAATGTTGACGTTTTTGCGATTGCTTTTGCGATCGCAAAACGATGGTTTAGATGGGGTTTTTCGCTGTGTGATGATCGGTTCCCTGCTTCGGAACCTTTATGACAATCAGCAAACAGCTGATCGCCGGGTTTCAAAATGGCCACCGGCTGAAGGAAAATGGCCCCTTGCTGTTTTTAGGACTGATTTTTCGCACTACAGGCACCGAAAATGTCTGCCCCTATGGAGGATCTTTGCTGGATGAGCAGGTATTCAGCCCATTGGAAAGCACAGAACGGTTTTCAATGCATTTCAATTGGTTTTTTTATTTTGTTTGACAACGTTTTCGCTCTACAGCAATTTCACTGGAACGAATTAACGTCGTCAAGCGAGGCACCACTGTACTATGGTACGCTTGACTGCTAGATATGCATGTTCAAAGCAGGCGGCAAAGAAAGCTGAAAACAAAAAATAGCCCATTATGGTACGCTTGACTGCTAGATATGCATGTTCAAAGCAGGCGGCAAAGAAAGCTGAAAACAAAAAATAGCCCATCGGTTCATTCAAAAAGGGGTGTTGGAGGAGAGCTTTGTGTATGTCATGTATTGCCAGAAGGACAAATAAGTGGTGCTAGATGGTACTCCTGACTGCTAGATATGCATGTTAAAAGCAGGCGGCCAAGAAAGCTGAAAACAAAAAATAGCCCATCGGTTCATTCAAAAAGGGGTGTTGGAGGAGAGCTTTGTGTATGTCATGTATTACCAGAAGGACAAATAAGTGGTGCTAGATCGAATTAAGTCTGAACTACTTCATTCAATATGCCAGCAAGTTTCGAAAACCCAACAGTGGCCAGAGGATTGGAAAAGATCAGTCTACATCCCAATCCCAAAGAAAGGCAGTGCCAAAGAATGCTCCAACTACCGCACAATTGCA